TTCGTTCCCATTCCAGGTGCGCAACAGCACAAACGACCTCGGCGACGATACGAGGAGATTGAGCGCATGTACAAGTGTGGATGGAATGGCTGCGAAAAAGCCTATGGTACACTGAACCACTTGAACGCTCACGTTACCATGCAGTCTCACGGACAGAAGCGAACACCCGAAGGTAAGCTGCTCACGATTGCGCATATTTTTTTCTTGACGAGCAGATGTGCCTAACAAATGATTATAGAATTTAAAGAGATTCGCAAGGAGTGGAAGCAGAGGAAGAAGGAAGAGGAAGCCAACCGAAAGGCCGATGAGGAGCGAGCACGCCAGGCTCAGGCTGCCGCTGCCGCTCAGAATGGAGGTGGCGATCCTCAAGGTCCCGATGGCACCCCTACCTCATCCTACCCCGGTCGAACAGTTCAGCTGCCTCCCATCGGATACCAGCCTGCCCAGTACCCGCCACCACCTTCTGGTGTTCCTCAGCAGCCTCTCCCCGATTATAACAACCATATATATCCGAATTATCAACCTCACTCGCCTTACGCGCAGCCCAGCCAGGGCATTCCTTACCAATGTATGTCGCACAGGTAGAGGGTGACTTAGTGGACGAACTAACCAGCCTTAGCAAACGGTGGTCAACCCCCAAGCCACTAAGACGGATGGTCAAGCAAGGATCAAGGTACTAGAGGAGGAAACTCACCAAAAGTCAGAAAGAAGATTGATACCCGCTGTACTATATTGGAACCATTGCTGTGCTTCTGAGATGTCATTAGATTGATCTGATGTCACCTTCAGAGAGTATGGCCGATTTGGAGGGGAAGAAACGGAATCAACGTTTTCTCGGCCCGGTAATTACTCCTCTACTTCGACTCGCATAGCCCATTGGCTGGTCCCCTGACCTTCATTGGGTTTCCTGCATATCCTTTCAGCTATTGGACCCTTTCTTCTTGGTTTCATTTCTTGGAGTTATACGTATATGCCCTCAAGAAGATCTTGAGTCAAGGAGTTGCCAAATTCTTTTCATCATCGTCAGGTTCTGGTCAGGGGTAGGTGGTCCTGGAGGTTTGGCGCGTTTATTTGCATTTACGACGATCTGTTATGTTTGGGGGGCCTGTGCAACCCAATTGCTGCAATTGTTTGCGGCACCGGAGGGCATGGCCGCCATTTGCTTTCGCATATGTGTGGACAACGGTGTGATTGAAGACATGTTTTTTATACGACGCTTACTTACTACACTTGTCATACGGGCCAACAGGGGGGTACGAATAGATGCATCGACAGTATATGATGACCACAGGCGCGTAACTTTCATTCTGTGAAATAAGTACAACTTGTAAGGCACAAGTTTTGAAAGGATCTTTAACTCGAACTTGCTCCGTGAACAATGATATTGTCATTTTGAGTCTGGAAAGAATAAAAATGCGGAACAAGGAGTAAACTTGTGATGATGAAATATTTATACTTCAGTCCTCAAAACGACTTCAGAATGTGACAAAGACTTAGTGAACCGGTCTGTCGGGTCACAAGTCAGCCCTATCTCTTTTCAAAAGAGGCAAAACCGATCAAGACACATGGGAATGATGCTCAAACCTGGTTAAGCGTGGGTGGCGTGCCGTGGTAGGGTTGTGTTGCACATAATACATACTGCAGATGGGGGTGGTCGAGTTGTGTTGCTGTGTTACAGACGCTAATCTACGCGGATAGTCCCAAGTCCAAGTCAAGGGTGTGAATAAAACAAAAGAGCCCAAAGGCAAGGATTGTAGATTGGGTGATGGTGGTGATGGGCAAGGCAGAGGGTAGAGAAGGGAAAGGTCGGGTAACACAAGACATGGAAGCGCCTGACGTACATGTGTAGTGCACGTTAGCTTATTAACAAGGAGGGAGAATGGATGGAAGTGGTCTGATCATGTCTCTCGGCTTTAGGCAACGCCAAGTGGAGGGGCCAAAAGCGATATATCCAGCAGATCTATAGATTGGCGAGAAGCCAGTGTGTGGTGTGTGCGTATGCGTATGCGTAGGTATGTACGTATGCGGTTGGTGTTGATTGCCCCGACAGCCCAGCGGACTAGATAGATACATGAAAGGAGCTACAGCTGGGATCCATGTGAGGAAAGGGGAACGAAATGTGAGAAGTTATGGGTGAAGTTGTATTCTACGGCGCTGCTCGAGGTCCATGCATCTCCTGCGCATATGTATACAATATGGATACAAATGCTGGATAGAGTTTCATGGTATAGACAAGGGTTATAATGTAACTCGAGTCAGGAGAGAATTACTCAATAAATGCCATTGAGCGAGAGCCAATGAGTCAGTCCTCTTCACGAAGCACTATTCTGCGATGCATCTGGACACGATGCTCACAGCCTTATAAACCACCGCCGTTGAATGCAGATAAGCTACCCGTGGGTGCTGTAACGTCTCATCGAGAAAGGGGACTAAGGTGCTAAAGTAAGTAGGTAGTAAACAAGGGGGGCGTGTACAGGATCGCGTGCGAAAAGAAAAGCCTAGCAAGGGAGAATTCCAACTAGAACAAAAACCGAGCCAACTAACTTATACCAAGGCCAAAGCGAAGCGAAACAAGGCGAGAAAAGTGCGTGCGTAGCGTGCAGCCAGAGGACCCCAAAGTAAGTGTGTGTGTGAGTGTGACTGATGCCGTTGTGAATGAACAAGGGGCCGACGACGCGGCGCTAGGAGAATTTAGCCGCTCATCGTTTAGTACCTACTAAGACGTTACTTGCAAGCCCAGCGAAGTGAACTGTCAGGTAACACAGGACAAGGCAAGAGGAGAGACAAGACATGGGCCATGGGCCATGGCCCTTGGGGCTGTTGGGGTCTGGAATTGTTTTGTGTCTGTATATGCATACCCCATGAAACTAATTTTTCGCATGGTGTAGAACTCAGTCTAGGCTGGTCTTGTTAGTTCCTGTGTCTCGGGACGTCAAACCAAGGTTTGCCTTTACATGCCTGAACGGCAATGGCTGGGCCGTTGAATACGTATCTATCGTATATTTTCTCAACGGTGCGGGGATTTAGAGTCTGAGACGGGTGTGAAGCTTGATGGATTCAGGTACGTGATACGTGACCATTTGACGGCTTGTCTTGAAGTTCAGCGGTATGACACGCTGATTTGGCTGATGTGTCACAGATAAGGCTGAGGTTACAGAGCACACGGTTAAATTGAACCACATGGTTATTTATTGAAGTTGGCTGCATATGCCAGCCCAACCACTAACTAATAACCACAAGTACAGTGTCTAATTTTCCGGGATATTTATACTCTTTATTGTGACCTTGGAATAAATTGCTGTCCTGTTTCATCGTATATATATGTGGGACGATTTCACTCTCATCGCCGTCACTGGCCACCCAGAGATTGTTCCACCAGTATACTCTATGCTCAAATGATGCTCTATCACAGGAGGATACTTACCTATTAAAGGATTCTATATTCGATGATGATGGTCTTTCTTCCAGTAGACAAAACCCAGTAATACGACTATCGGTCATCCCGAGCCTGAACCAGGGTTTATGCACAAGCTCTGCATGGTAGCAAACTTACGCCGCACACGGACGCACGCAAAGCATCCTTGACCGGCACTTACGGGATCCATGATAGTGGCAGTGTTTGCTCTAGCATTGATCCATAGTAGGGCTCTATCTCGTTGCGGTTAATGTGTGGTGACGTTGCAGGGAGCCAGGAAGGATGCGATGCGATGTCGAAACAGGGCGTGCGGTGGAGGAACAACCCATCAGGTTTTGGGATGACAGCTGAAAAGATAGTTCTTGGCGGCTATATGATCGGGAATATAGCATATGATGTTTCACATACAAAATCTCGACTATTCTGGACTGCTGGGGTTAGTAACTCAAGGATAAGACTATGGAGATGGCGATTGAGTGAACGTGCAGCGTCTCATACATCAGTTTTATTATCGACAGTACAGCAGATAATCAGGTGAGTACATGCCAGTGGGCCAAATAACCGTTGAAACATCGGATTTGGAGGCTTGCGGGAATGCGGTTCGGGACGAGCACAAGGCAGCCGGAAATCTAAACGTGCTTTTGCTCAGGGTATGCATCAACCTACCCCAATTGTAGGACCGATTACTTGGCCGGGTGCTTTCCTCTTGACTCACAAGCAGGTGCTGAAGTTTGAGATATCAATGACTCCGAGACTCGAGGGGAGTGGCATGACACTCACAGTTTCACATGATAAAGTGTTGCTGAGAAGGCTTCAAAGTATTTTTCGATTGTGAATATATTCGAGTACTGCATCAACCTAATACCAAAAAGTGGCATTTATTGTCGAATAATTTCTTTTTCGTCTTGCCGAAGTGATGCTCATAGTATTGACGAAAAAAGCGGGATAATGCAGTAGCAGGCAATCAGTCACCAAATCACACCCAAATCATGTATTACCTCAGCGGTACATTTGGGTCACAACTGCGTTGTTCGATAAATGTGCCATCTCCATTGAAATATTGATTTCCTTGATCTCGTTGTCTCAGAACGTCATTCAGCTCTTCGTGCCTTTTTCTGATGACGTGCTGTCGTGCATAGGTAGGTAGGCCGTGCCACGCGGTCAAAGAAAGCTCCGGATACGAAGAGAATTGAAGTCAATCACGCAAAGAAACTGCCAAAAGAAATCCGGAACCTTTGTTGAGTTTAGAAGAGTAAGTATCCTAAAGCTTCACTAAGTTTAGGTAAAGTACCTTACCCACGCATAATTACATACATCTAAAAAGGTTTCTGCTATTCATTCATTGACTGACGCGGGCTGCCTGCTTTTTTTTGCTACCCCGCTGTCCACCAGTGTTTTGCGTCGTGTAGCAGCAATATCAGTCTCAGCACTGTACCCTTACATCCCATCATATCTCGTACTGTATCGATACTCAGATACCCAGAAACTCAATACCAATATTGGACCAACACTACCCGAATCTTCAAAATTATAAGATTCCGTCCCCGGCTCCAGAAAGAACCCACTGCCGCCTTATCAAAAGAAAATGGAGGGAGATCTCCCGTCCATTCCCTCACGACCTAAGGGTTTGACGAAATCGAACTCAAGCGCATCCTTCGGCGGTGGCTCTGCAAAGTCCGTATCAGTACTGGGGACGCATCCTCTGGGCACTCTTCATGTTCATCAAGCCAGCGAGACACCTCATGAGCAACAAGATGATGATGGCCCTCCGCCCTTGGATCCTCCCTCAGGACAGAGTGAGAATGCTCTGATCAAGACCTCTCAACATGGCCCAAGCTGGGAACCCTTGACACACAGCATGGGAGGCGGAGATGTGGTACTCATATTGGACTTGCCCGACGTCTTCACGGTTGGCTACGACTCAATATCATTCACAGCTAAGCACTTTGGTGGCGTCAGGGATATACCACCAGGCGCTCACTTCTTCTGGGTTGCTCACCCAGGAGGCCTTTCTGCCCGGTGTGGTTTCTGGATTGTAACGAATAGTGCCGACACTGTCCATGTTATGCAGTGGGATCGGTACAATGAGGTTCTGGGTGACTCAGCCCGTGCTGAAGCCCGCATCCAAGCCCATAATCTCGACACCATTCACTCAAAACTTGTCCCTTATCAAGACCCAAGTGCAGTAAACGCCGCCAACGGTGAACTTACTCAGGCTACCTCACACAAAAATCTCAACATGTGGGAGCAGTTGACTAGCAAGATCACAGAGAGTCTTCTCAATCGAGTGACGGGGCAGAATCACGATAACTGGACGGTACATACCGGCGATCGTGTCAAAGGGTCGATACTCATGGCTGGTGAGATGGAACTTGACAACTCAATCTCAAACCCTTTGCTCAAGGCCCGCGAGCTCAACTTCGCCTTCAGCCAACGAACCAAAACATACTCGACAGACAATACCGGAGCCGACCGAACCTTAAGAGCCACGGATGCAACTCCTTATATATTGTCGCAGGTTGATACTTCTGATAACGATCTGAGCCCTGACGACGTTATCGGTGAATTCCAGTTCTCTTTCGTTGTAGGTGTCCACCTTGGTAACGATTCATGCATCCAGCAATGGTGGCATATGTTGCTGAAGATCTTTCTCCGTGCTCATCTCCTCCCCCTCCGTCTACCGTCTCTCGCAGCCGCATTCATTCGCACCTTGACGGCCCAGCTCACGTACAGCGCCTCCTGGCTTGAAGGTTCAATTCTTGATACTGCAGAGTCACAAACCAAAGATCTTCGACTTTCACTCACTGTCTACAAAAGACGCCTGGATGAATTTCTGCAAGGCTTGGGGAACAATGCCACATCTGAGCAATTGGCTGTTGCTACAGCTTTCGCAGGACTTGAGGCTGTTGTGACTGGTACACTGGATTGGGACCTTCGCGGAGACTATCTACGCCGAGGGAGAGTCATGATGGAAGATGGCGAGGAAATCGAGCTGGAGGTTGCTGACCTGGCAGCCGAAGATGAGCGTGGAGAGTGGGCACCAGAGATTGTTGACCTGGATGAGTCTGGACGGCAACGCGACCTTGTCTCGTGGAACGACTAGATATGCTATTTCACAAGAATGCTTCGTGCTTCCAAACATCGGGGGAGACTAGCAAACCCAACAACAGGAAGTGGGTTCCAGACGCGAAGGAAGAAACAGAGCATAATGTGTTACCTTGTGTGTAAGGAGTAGCTCACCATCGAAATGCAGTTGGATTGACCAAACGATTGAGTTTACAAAGCTGGAGTTAGGAGTTGGTAATTGTTCCCGCAACGGCAACAGAGTACGAAACAATTAGCTTCTATCAATACGTTGAACCCATTGAACAGGCCAAAGTTGAATATGATAGCACCAAAGAAGGGTATTGGCTTTGTACCACGGCGAGCAGTCCAACTGCGACCTAAGTGACACCCAGCCGATTCCAGGGCTTGCGAGTTGCACTTCCACTACTGGATTCTCTTGACTCGACGAAGATAAGCCCGGCAACGATATTTGCATGCTCCGGAAATTTTGAAAACAGGTCGTCACGTATGAAAGTGGGAATCTGAGTATCGGGGCGAGTCCAGCAAAGAGGCAATTCATGAACATCACAGTGCGTAGCAGCACGGGCCGCGTCGTTAACTTTGAAGATTTCATTTGCCTGCCAGATCCTTTACAATCCGCCAAAAGCAAGACCATGCAAATGCTAATGGGAAACCCATTCCCAAACCAGGGAAATTGTGACTCCAGTCCCTTTTTCGCACTGCCCATAGTATCCTCCACTGCACCAACGCTCCGGCTCGACGCTTTTTTGCCCCATTCCGACAAACATCTTGAACCGTTTAACGGTAAGACTTCTGGAAGCGAGAGCGGGCACCCTTACCACCGAACTTCTTGGGCTCGCATCGGCGGTTGTCGGCAACGAGGAGGGTTCGGTCGAACTGGACGAGGGCCTGCTTGAGGAGGTTCTTGGAGTGCTCATCAACGAACTTCTGGTAGTAGGCGATCAGGGACTTGGCAATGGCCTGTCGGATGGCATAGATCTGATACATAGTCAGCAATTTGTCTATATCGACGAAGTAAGGGCGGAAACCTGGCTGGTATGCCCTCCGCCGCTCACGCGGCATCTGATATCAACGTTGGCGAACTTGTCAAGGCCAACAACGAGAAGAGGCTCGTAGACCTAAGATAAGAGTGTTAATCTTTGGTTCCCAACAAGACACAACACCATCCGCGCGCATCGTCATGTCGAATTCTATAATTGAACGACGTGCTTCTTAAATGGTCGAGGGATTCGTGATTCGTACCTTGAAGCGCAAGATCTCGGGCTGGACGAGGGAGAGAGGTCGTCCGTTGACCTTGATGAGACCGCGGCCAGCCTGGAAATTTCAAGTCATGTCAGCTTCTCTGGCTCATTCTCTCATCTTATGCTGGGCATTTCGCGTACCTTGCAGTGAGCAACGGCGGTGGCGGTCTTCTTTTTACCAAAACACTGCACTGACTGAGTAGACATGATTGCTGGTCTTGGTGTTGTCGTTGGGCGGCGGGCGGAGGTTGAAAGCGTGGTGATCTTTTGGTGGGAGTTTAGATTCTGTCTCTTTCGTGAAAGGCGCTAGTGCCGAGTGGGACCGTGCCTTTTTCTCAGCCAATAAGAGGGAGACCCACGCACAAAGCCAGGGCTTCGAAAAATTGAGACGTCGTAGACAAAATTACATCAACGGACTTGCTGCTTTTTAGAGTAAGATTTGCACGGTCTTTTTTCCACGGCAAACTCACATTTCTCCAAATCCATCGACCCTCGTTAGGGCACTGCACGTGAACACTACGAGCATTGTGAGCCGGACTGCCCACCTTGACAAATTTTCGTGCGTCTAACAACTCACAGCCGAAGTTCAACGTTCTACTAACCGTCCCCTGTGCAGTCGTCAGGTCAGCAAACCACATCCACCATCAACCAAGACGCTTTATTAACATATCACAGAATGGTTGCCGCTAAGCACGTCAAGATCGTCAAGAAGCGTACGTGAATTCGACATTCCTTTGCGACAACACGAGCGAACGAAGGAGAAACGAGTGGTAGTCAAAATGCTGACTTGTGTGTGCAGGCACGAAGCGCTTCGAGCGTCACCAGAGTGATCGCTTCAAGTGTGTCGACCCCAGCTGGCGCAAGCCTAAGGGTATCGACAGCCGTGTCCGACGACGATTCCGCGGCACCATTGCCATGCCCTCTGTATGTCGAACATTTGCGAGGCCCGATGAGAATCATCGACTTTTCACCAGGCGGGACGTGGAACTTAATGCTAATGTTGCATGCTTCAGATCGGCTATGGCTCCAACAAGAAGACCCGCTACATGACCCCCTCCGGCCACAAGGCTTTCCTAGTCAGCAACGTCAACGATGTCGAGCTTCTCCTCATGCACAACCGAACCCACGCTGCCGAGTACGCTCTCCCTCCTATATCACTCGGCCAATTTTTAGCTAACCATGTTTTCAGGATTGCCCACAACGTCTCGTCGAGGAAGCGAGTTGACATCATTGCCCGCGCCAAGCAACTGGGTGTCAAGGTCACCAACCCCAAGGCGAAGGTTACCACCGAGGTTTAAAAGGAAATGGATCGGTTATTGGGCTGCTTTACGGTTATGCATCGGAAAGGGGTTTGCGTTACTTGCGGTTCTGGCACATAGCTCCATGGCATGCTAGAGAATAAAAAACGCGCCGTTGAACGACGATTATATCTGGCATCAGCCGCTTGAGCAGCAAAATCTCTTTTGAGTCGGGAGTGACATGGAATATATGTCTGATCCACTCGAAGCTGATGAGGTCTCTGATGGAGGCGTGGGTGAACATGTTGTGAAATGTGGATGAGGCCATGAAAATAAACAAGAAGTCCCCATAAGGGCCCCATCTGCTCCTCCAAAGTACTCGAAATGTTGACCGTTTCACTTCTACAGCGAATACTGATTATGACGTTGGTGCCTATACAAGCCTGGATTCTGATTGCAATAGTCCGCAAGGCTAGACAATCCTGTGGGCGTCTTCCCTGGCTATTGGACACAAACGAAATAAGGAATGAGTCGTTCCCAAGCGAATTTGTTAATACAAGTCACTGCATCTTTAAGAAAAATAACACTATTTACCTTATGTTGAGGAAGCTGTGACTTGGTGACAAAGATCACAGCCTTGAAGCGAAGCAAACTGATGTTCATTAGGACGATATGATGAAAGCCTAGCAGAACCAGCCACAAACCAACTTTGGCTATATCCTAAGAGCACGCTTCAGCAACGATCTACCCCATAAGAGCTGAAGGCTGATGTCTTCGTCTGGGAAACGTATAAAGAAGAGTTTGCTTGATGGTGCTACGCTGGCGGTTGGCAGGCAGCTGCCACTTGCCTCGCACTTGCCCAATCTCATGGCATATCAGCCGGCCATGACGACGCGCCAAACCTCCCGCCTCGTCTTCAACTTGCGGGCAAAAAGAAACTCCCCTTTCCATGAATTGCAATTTTCTCTTGGGCCCCTCCCGTCTCGTCCCCCTTCCTGGTAACCTCTTCAATATCATGAAGCAACTTTATACACGGCATCGCTTATAGTCAACCAACCTCTTACGACTTGACTCAAGCTCCTTTACTCGGAATATTGTCGTCTTCTCTATATGCTCAAGCATTTGATTGAATGCACCTTCGGAGCACGTTCGCCGATTCTGGCCTTTCCAGCATGACAATGGCTTTTCTACCACCACGGTTGATGCAGCAGCAACCCTATAAACCAACATGCACCCATCTCACCATGACCCGGATTTACGACGCGGACTCTAAATGTTCCTCTTGTCATGAGTCCGGTCAGTTTGGGTGGCTCTACCAGTGTACACAGGATCATGAGAAGATAATTGAAGAGAAACTGGTGAGAGGCCTTCCATGGAATAGAAACATCTGGTAGACGTTGATAACTAACTGGAGAGCAGCCATGCATGGACTACTTGGATTTCAGCTTTCGCAAGAACATGGTTATTCGAAAAGGCAGCGCAGAAGCTCGACGCGATAAACTTAGCTTTCTTCAAGAACTCACTCCCGAGCAGATGGCATCCTACCGACCAGATCAAATTGCAACTATCCTAAGACAGCGAGAGGAAGTGAGGCAACATTATTTACCTGCAGCTCTTAAGTATACTAATATTTGTGGTAGTTAAAGGACGTTATTGCAAAGGAGGAACGACAAAAAAGCACCTCGGCCCTGTTTAGCAACCTCCTTCCACCCCTGGGGTTCGAGTCTTCATTCAGTGATAAGGGACAACGGACCCTGGATGAAGATACCCTTTGTCAATACAAGATCTGCCAAAGATGCCGTCCTGTGTGCGTTGATCGGGCATTTTTGAGTCTCAATGCAGTCGCCGATGGCGAGATCACTCCAACAGCTGCTGCCGGTTTTGGTTTCGAGTCTCTAGGAGGAAGGCCAGTCATTGACAAAGATATTGTTAAACATATTGACGAGCACCGCCCAAGAGTGAGTTTAGATCCCTGATCATCAATGGCAGATTGTTGACGAATGCATCTAGCCTCAAATCGGCAATCGTCGAATGATGGCACTGCTTGACGACCAGATCGCCCGTATGCTCGCAACTCATAATCAGAACCAACCTTTTCGAAAGGGGCTTAGGGGTACAGTCTCTGGATTCAGAGGAGCACGGCAGTTGCCCACTGTTAAGAACGTTGCTGCAAAAAGGCAACGTATGCGCGAAGAGGAGAAGGTCTTGGCCGATGCCGCCCAGAGTGATGCAGAGGCTGTTGCCTCGACGCCTGACTTACTGGGAAGCCCTTGGCCATGGCTGGCTACTTTCCGGACACCCGACGAGCATGAGGATGATCAAACCCACGGTCGGCACCCACGACAGAGAGGGCGTGCCACACGGATTCCTCGGTAAGTGTTTAGAGTGATGTTTTAAGCCGGCCTTATTAACCAAGACGGCGCAGTCCCACTGCTCCTGGCCCGAGATCCGCACGTCGCCGTCTAACTGATCAAATCTTGTCTAGTACGTCTAATATCCTTCCCCTGGACGGATATTCATGGAGCTTTTTTGGTGGCGGTGAAAATACTGTCCCGACAACCACCTCGTCCCTCAGTAATGCATCCAATATCACGTCGCCAGGGGCCGAGAATGGAGGCAATAGCGAAGAACCATCGCCTATGTCACTCGGGACTGACCATGGTGTTGCGATGACAGAGGAGAGCATCGAGGCTAGAGTTCCCGATGTGATGACTCAGGTGTAAGGATGATGGTTAGGAAAAGAGTGTGCTTGGGAAACCATTGAGGTTATAAGACTTGGTGGTGCACTTAAAACTGGTTTGGGGTTTCGCGGCGTTTGAGAGGTTGTCGGACTGGTTGATACTTGGTCGAGTCAGGCTTTGTCTAGAGTCTTGGAACATTTGCTTCTGTGCGAGTATGATTCTTTTGTTAACCTATGGTTGGTCCATCTCTACTAATTATCCTTGGAATTCTCCAATATCTTCTTCATCATTTGATTACCCACCACCTTGGCCTCCTCAAACCGCGGTTCAAAGAACTGTTGAGTACTCACGAACCGCTTCTCCCATGTCTCGAAATGTCCCAGGTTCACACACTCAGCCCAGGCCCGGGCTGCAAAAGTGAACTCCAGATCGTCACTCCGGTACGTCTTATCCTCAATTGCAGTCTCAATGGCTGCCTCAAGGACATCTTCGTTGCGGAACAGGTATTCAGTGACACCAAGGCGCAAACGGAAGAGAGGAGTGCTGCAGAGCATGTGATCATATGGCACAATATTTAGCGCCGCCCAGCAGTCGACCATTGCAAGAATCGAGAGATGGTTGTTGGGTCGAGGCTCATCAGTGGGCGTACCGAGCGAGAAGGACGACAAGATCGACGGCTCGAGCAAGGGGCGTGTGTCCCAGGTCGTGGATGGACCGAATACCTTGTCGCGTGCCCGGTAGACTCGTTCTCTGAAGCCCTCACGGTTTCCTTCGAGCATGAGTTTGTACAAATCGGTGACGCTTCGTGCATACTGTGAGATCTGCTCACTCGCTTCAGGGTTGAGAATAGCAAGGCCAGCGTATACATGCCACTTTTGACTGTAGATGCGCAACATCAAATTGACCTTGACATTCTCAATACCGCCAACATATCGACTCAGCTCCCAAGGAAATTGCTTGTTAGCGTGCCACGCCTTACCCATAGATAAGAAGGCTGCATGGGTGACTGCTTGAGTATCGGCGGTGATACGGTCGTGCTCGCGGGCTGAGAGATGGACAAACTTTGAACGGAGACAGCTGAGGACAATCTCAACCTTTCGAAGAGCTGAGTCTGGGGCGCGATGTTGGATGAGCACAAGGGGTTGGTTAGTCGGGTCAACATTGGGGCCATGAAGTGAGTGGCACGAGATAATATCGACGTCGGCAGGGAGGTGAGCCTCGAAGGCAGCGATCTCGGGGGACTTGCAAGAGGTTTGACCTCCAACAATGGCACCAAGCTTCGTAGCTGGTCACAACAGTCAGTGTCTAGATGGCTACTGTGTAACCTCGAGTCGAGAGGAGACGCTCGAAGGAAACATTCACAAGGGATACGAAGAGAGGGCGCGTACATGGTCCATACTGGGCAATTACACGGTCAATGACGGCGGCCTCGACGCTATAGATGATGTAGTCGCTTGCGCGGGAAACATAGTGGCCATTTCGACAAATTTCTATATTTTTCTATTCAATAGCTTCAGCGACTTGGAACAAGGCAGAGCAGGCAGGAATCACTAAGCCGTACATTTCCAGCATATTCTTTCTGAAGCTTTTCCTGATTCTCTTCTCTGTCGCAGGCCATGATTCTAACGTAGATCCGCCGTTAGCCACTCGGCATCCGGTTTGGGATTGCATTCACATGGAGAAAGTATCTGTTCTTGTAGTTGTTAGCTTTTGTGTCGAAGTAGAAGTGCTAACAAAATGAGGTAGAAGAGGTGAAAATTCAGACAGTTGATAATTAAGGTAGCAAGCGTTTACATCATTGAGAGCACAGGTCCGATTCTGATGGCCATAACGGACACCAGGCGTCCCTGAACAATGCTCGAGCCAAATGCGCTCTAGTCATCATGAAAGAGAGGAGGGGAGTGGGTGTTGAGGGAGAGTTGGCTTACCATTTGAAGAAAAGGAGCTGGAGCTGGAAGTGCGAATCACAATGGATCCAAGACTTACCTCCAGCCAGCGGCAGACAGCCTTTCGGCATACATCCTGCCCATGTCGCCCATACCAATCAGTCCGACGACGAAGTTCTCCATCCCCTCGGGGACAGGCTGCGATTGTGAAGCCATATTATCTGCTGCGCGATGATAGCAAGAGCAGGAAACACGAATCACATCCTCTCAAGCGACTGTGCTTTAAAAGAGCTTTGTGCGGAAAGCTCAAAAGAGTGTGTTTGAGAGTGAAGAAAAAGTCAGAGTGAAAAAAAAGTTCGCGACCTTCTTTATGGTGGAGATTTCAGGCGCGTTACGTAAGCTACCGCTATTTCGCGTTATAGCGATAGGTGGATCTATGAAGCTATCCACTTCAGCATCAAGAGAAGTACGCAGAAGATCGAGAGGAGGAGCTTTTGCTTTTGGTGACTTGCACTGATTCGGTTCATAATTTCGCTTCTTTCTCAAAAAATGGAGGTCGTGTTTGCGTTAGGCTCAAATGGCTCTGGTCAGTTGGGCATTGGCCACAAAGAAGACGTTTCAGTGCCGAAGCAGGTCCTCTTCCATCCTGACCCTCCAACCTCCTCCATTACAAGAGTCGCAGCGGGTGGGAACCATACGTTACTTCTCACAAAAACTGGCCAGCTTTACTGGAGCGGTGATCCCACGCCTGGTGCATGTGGATTGAACACTGGTCCAGATGCAGCCGTGTTTCGAGAGATTCAGCTTGCCAAGAATGGAGAATCTTCAGTTGGCGAGATTGCCTTGATCACAGCAACGTGGGAGGCTTCTATCCTTGTGGCTAAAGATGCAGATGGAAAGAAGACTCGAGTTTTTAGTCTGGGGGCGGGGTTGAAAGGCGAACTAGGTCTGGGAGAACTCATCGTTCGAACACCATCAGCAACCCAAATTCGAGAATTCCCACCTCCAGGAACAGAAGTTGTCGACCTGGCTGCTTGCATGGGACATGCCGTTGCAGTTCTCGACAATGGTGATGCTTACGGTTGGGGTAATGCGAGAAAATCCCAAGCTGGTGAGCCAGGTCAAGTCCTTCATGCTCCTAGAAAGATTGAGGGCATCGACTTCAAGATCACAAGAGCTGTTTGTGGCAGAGAATTCACATGTCTATTCGGCGACCCACAAAGCGGACACATCAAGGTTCTGGGTTCAGACAAATGGAATATTCAATCAGGTGCACCAAAGACATGTCCTGAGTGGAAGGACGTGGGTTCAAGTTGGGGAAATATCTATGTACTGGGGAAGGACGGTTCTCTACAAGCCTGGGGACGAGATGATCACGGACAACTACCCCCACCTAATCTACCCGAGCTGAGCAAGATTGCAATCGGCAGCGAACATGTTGTTGCTCTCTCCACCGCAGGCGATGTGCTATCATGGGGATGGGGTGAACATGGCAATTGTGGTCCTCAAGTTGAAAATAACGATGTCAAAGGCCGGTGGAATGTCATCGCCTCATCTAAATTCATTCCCCCGGGCTCTAAAATAGGAGAAGTCGGGGCAGGGTGTGCCACTAGTTGGGTATTCATTACAGCTGAGTGAATATACTCGTCTAGATGCCACCTCTTTCGCCCTCCATACCATTTCCTGTCCTTAGTCGGGGAACAGGGCCAGACTTTCGACCTCTGTCAACTTTTGTGTTGGCTCAATGTATGTTGATTCAGCATCTGTTGGTGGTGGGTGGGGAATTTCGGCTTGGGGTTCAACAGGAGCAAGGTTCTCCAAGAAGCGGCTCGTGTCCATATCAGAAGCGTTCTACTATAATCAGTACATGGTCAAAGTAAGGGCTTTTGCAACTCACAGGATCTATGCTATGATCCCATCCCAGCTTAGCATTGTCCTCTGCAAGCTCTTCATCCTCGTAGTTGATAGGTTCCCAGCCTTCATCCTCAACGAATAGACTCTCGGATCTGTTAGTCGCAGGCGGTGCCGGTCTCTGCGAGGGTCGAAGATCAAACGCCCCTACGCGCGAAGCGCTGGCTCTAGCAGCGCTCATCTGTGGTGTTGGGTTAGGCTGAGGTAATGATGGGGGAGGAGGCGCTGGCGCGGGTGCTGGTTGTGACTCTGGAGGAGCCATGCTCGGCCGCCGTGATGTGGCTTCCAGACGCGGACCAGTATTCTGAGTTGCGTTCTTGCGTCCTTTCTTAGTCCTCTGGCCAGTGTTGGTCCCGCGCTCGCCAACAGTCATGACAAGGAATTCGCATGACATGGCATCGCCAGTATACGAAAGCTGGATGGGTTGTGTAGGAATTGAGTATCGGGCTGACACCTCGTTGCCTGTGATGCCAGCATGTTGAATAATAGCGCGGAAGTCTTTGACGGATATGACAATATGGAGCTTGTCTTCCACATCAATCTCGTCGAATTCATCCGCCTCGACAGCGATTGACGTTTGGAGTGGCTTTTTCAAGACCGCTATTCAATGTCAGCTTATAGGCAAGCATTTTGTCAAGAGATAAGCACCATCCTCGCTCACAGTCTTCTCACTAAAACAAGTAAAATTGACATGATCCCCATCAGTGTTGATATCGAGGAACTCGATACCGGGACCAAAGTGATCCATGAGCTGCCGCAATGTGCGTGAAGAGATTGTCCAGTGGTGGGGGGCATCTTGTTTGTTGAACTTGGCGTGGATTGGTACGGAAGCCTCGAATGGGAGACGGTGTGTAGATGTCAGTCCATTTCGAAAGATGAGACGTGCGATGAATCGACTTTGAACTCCCTCTCCATCTTCAACTGCAACATCACATCTGTCGATGAGCGTTTGCTTCTCTGCATCCCTTTGTGAGTCAGGCGCCGTACGGCTTCGGAATAAAGAGATTAAAGCCTTTAGTTGTTCAGCAAGATTTATACGGTGAAGGAGGGGATTGGGCTTACTCGGATATAGAGGGTACAGTAGAAACGGTCACGAAATTGGCGACTTCCTTGGTAGTGGTACCGGGAGAAGAACTTGGTCGTCGCAAATCTGACACTTGCGTAAGCAGATTTTGAGGTGTTGAGAGTAGTGAGAATAAACTAGAGTGATATGTGAGTATTGGGCTAGATGGGAGCCTTCTGGCACATGTTGAACATACTGAATCCTTGCGGGCCTCGAGTGAAACGTCGTCGCTGAACTTGTTCAGGCAAATGAGGGCATCGCGAAAAGCGGAAACACCTTCTTCACTGAGGGTAAAATTGAGTAGCGCCATGACGCCTCGAGTTGTTCAAATGGCTCATGAATATATTTTCGTCATGTTTGAAGACAGTTGTGAAGGCAATGTCTTTAACTTGAAATGGCAGGCACGCGTTCACGGTGATAGAGCAGCGCATGACAAGTCGGAGTTGGATGTGTGGATCCGGAACCCCACTAGGCTTACCCTGTAGTCAACGATCAAAACACCAAGAAAACACATCGTCATCACAGTCAAGTTTAGTTTGGTGAAAAACCAAGTTGTATTAGGAGGGACAATCTAACATCTATCCCTCATCCGACCCAAAACTCCTAAGAACCCATTCCTGTCGTGTCATCGTTCCAGCGTCGTCAAGACGTTTGTTGTTCCATCAGAAGATTGTTTAGATGCAGCCAAGCGACTAAATAAGGTACTTAGCGACGGAAGCAGCTGAACTTTCCGAGAGAGAATCGCCAAGGGCCCCGTCGGACGCCGTGCTTGTCAACATGAACACTGGTGCCGAAATGGCGACCGCCGACTCCCTTTGACCAGAAAAGACCCATGATGTTGTTTGTTTGTTTGTTGTGCAAGTTTGAAAGTGCAGGTTGTCTAGATATATATTGTTAGCTCAGGTACGGTTGACGGAAGGAAAAGGCTTGTGTTCACCTTTGTGTATTGAAGTTGAAGAGATGTCGTTGAAAGAAGCTTGTTTACGAGGAAAATAAGGTGTTGGGGGGTTGCAGATCAACTTTATATGACATCTCAGCCCAGTCCAATCGCTGCCTTGGCAGGGACCGTGGAAGAGGCCTCTCTGTAATTCGATCTACGATACCTCACCAGTGACATCTTTTGGCGCTCAGTGACGTAGGCTTAGTGGCGGTGTTAAGGTCACGCCACACATGATGTACGTGGTAAAGGCTGCCCTCCTTACCCAACTCTTTATAACTTTATTAGTTCTGGCCAAAAGAACTTATGAACATGAACGAATTTGTTGAATAAATTGGATAAATCATTTCGCAAGTTATCTTCTATCAACCGTTTGCCTAGGTATTGATTCACGGTACAATCTCCCCTGTGGCATATCTTTAAATGCCTGGGAAAACCCTCATAGCAAGAAAACTTACGATCTCCATCTAAGGAAATAGAAATATTTAGGTAAACTTAGTTAAATTTAGGGCACATTTAGGATACTTTTAGATCTGATATTCCGGCACTTGGGATAAACGAGGTCCTAAGTTTTGCCTCCCTCAAAGGGACGGCCCAACATGGTTGTTCCAAAATCAAGCTTGATGCATGTAAATCTTGCCTCCTTCTATCCAAGTGAAACACCATCAACGAAAAGCCACGATAATCCCACCCTGAAGCCTTCGATATCTACGCGTCAACACTCTTCGACTTCTCTCACGCAAGTGAAGTGTTAAAGCGGTTCTAGCGCTTGTGACAACAAGGAAATGGGTTTCGCGTCCGACCTTGTTCGTTTCCCAGAAAATGAGGGCGAATGGAGTCCTCAACGACCAGATTCCCCTCGTTGCTTCTTGTTCGCCAATCAATAATCATGACATAGCGCTTGTTAGGTTGCTGTTCACTTCCCATTCTTAATCAGCCTTACAGTACAGGCGCTTTGTTACTCGGTGCGACAGGATGGCACGACATGAGTATCTGTTCATTTAATGCCCCTATGAGGTGCTGATGCATCCTTTGCGAGAACACAGCTTCTCAGCGCTGAACAGTTCCTGAAGTCCATCACAGTGGGTTGTCGAAGATATGAAGAACAGTGTATCTCCAGTCCAGTGGCAGACGAAATCGTGGCATACATAAATAGCCACTGGAAGCAATTGAAGCATTTATCACCCCCAACTGCTCACTCAGCACCACACAAACGAGTAAAATCAACACCTGAAAATAACTTGTCAAAATGACCAATTCTTCCGCTAACACTCCTACTGAAACTCCCACCAACGAGCAGCAGGGTCTTCGCCGCTCGAGCCGCTCAACCCGTGGCCAACTCAGCCAGAACCGATTTCTCCTACAGCACTTTGTTATAGGAGAAGAGGCATCTCGTCCGACTGATGGGCCTGGACGTCGCCGAGCCATCGCAAAGCCCAAGGCTGATCATAACGATGAGTCGGGTCCGCTGGCACAATCAGCGCCCATAGATCCCCACAACTCACGTCGGCATAGAAGACGGAGCCTGGGCAATAATCTTTCCAATCTCGGGAGCCATGAGGAGAAACCGGCCGGCTCTGCAGAGGCAGTAGCCTTGGTAAGCCCTCGGCGTAGCAGTGTCCCAGCTGCTTCTCCTCTTCCAACCTCTATTCAACATTTTGGTGATCGTCGCCGAAGTGCCTCCCCGCCCCAGTTGGCTTCTTCAAACATGAGAGATCGTCAAGACCCGGCCCCTCAGCAGCGAACAATGCCCGCTTTCCCTTGGGAGCCAGCCTTCCAGTATGGATTTCAAGTGTCTCCTCAGTATCAGCCACTGGGGCAGCAGCAGATCCCATTTTTTACAATGCCTGTGCAACCCGGTCAGATGGCTCCGGCTCAACACTTTGAGCAGCAAACTCAAGAATCTGCCTCTGATGCCCCCGGAGTCTTTGTGAAACCAGCAGATTTGATGCTAGACAGACAGGGTCTGGTGAATCCACAGACGAACAATATCCCGAAAACTGAAATTCCCCAATTTGCAGAACTGGTTGACTCGTATAACAAGATTCACGAGGAACGTCGAGTACAGGAAGAACGAGACCGTCTGGCGGCGCAAGAGGAAAAAGACAAAGCCAAAGCGGCAGAGGCAGAGGCGGAAGAGCTAAGCCAGGAGGAGATGGACGCATTGTGGGATCAGTTCATGGATCCTGATGCTTTCAAATGATACCATTCACAAGGTAAGCCCACCACTAACGAGATGTTACTGATGTTGCTTTTTCAGAGGCTTTTCATGCGAACGGCAGATTTAATCACCAAAACTGGTAGTTTATTTCACAGGTATGTCTTCCCTCCAGGATAGGATAGCTTGGCTCGTGTGGGATCTACGTTGGGCAGTGCAAAACATTGGTGGCTAAGGGTAGGGACTTTGCTATACGCCCTCTGGCACGGTAGGTGAAAAACAAATAAAACTAACAAGTAAGTCTTGGACCATGCTCACCATGCTCATTTCCTAAAACAGCCTCATGTGAAGTATCTTGTGTGACTCATGAATCAACCCCCTGTAGTCGAGCGGCTACTTGGAATGAAGTGTCTTCCATCCCGCAGCGACCAAACTCTCATGGCCTGCTCGATCGCCAGCACCGGTCCAGTAGAACAGACCGCCCAGGCCTATTGCTTTGGCATACCTCGCCTTAACGCAAACCGTGCTAGGAACATCGAAAGAGACAAAGCCTTTGTCTCCTTTAGTATCGACAAAAGATGCCGCTGCCACGGATTCATCGACTTTTGCGCCTGCTACCCATTCATCCGGTAAATCGCAGTAGTCAATCTCTCCTGAGCCCTTGAAAGGATGTCCTGGTCCACGAGCCTGTCCAAAATATCTGGCATACACTGGAATGCCGAGGATTATCTTACGGCTGGGGAAACCTTGCGAGGTCAGGTAGTCAACACCGCGCTGGCATGACTTGCGAAGGGTGGGATACACCTCATCTAGGTTGTGGCTTGGAGGCAGGAGCTGTGCGTGATGGCCACAGACGTCGGTCCAGCCGCCCGTGAAATCGTAGCCCATGAGGTTGAGGAAGTCGAGCAGTTGCGCTACGACTGGTAGGTTGAGATGCTTGAGACAGTACTCGCCAGTGGGAAGAGCACTTGTCAGCAGGTATTTGGGAGCCGGCATGGTCTCTCGGATGGCCTGGAGGTACAGAACATAATTATTTCCAGCTTCTGGAGTCTGAGGGTGCTCCCAGTCAACTGTGGCAGGTTAGACTTGAAGCAGCCTTCGATTGGATATTAACATACTGTCAACTCCATCGAAATGATGGGTGTCACAAAACTCCTTGATCTGACGAGCAAAAGTTTGTCTCGCTGCTCTGCTGGCTGCAAGTGCAGGAAATTCCTTGCTGCTAGAGCCACCACCGATCGAGACGAGTGTCTTTACATGAGGGTGCTGGCCTTTCAATTTGCGAAGTGCCGCGAGGCAGCCCTTTTCGCCATCGACTACTTTATTGTTGTCAGCCCAATCATCGATGGACTACAGATGAAGTCAGTCAACAGTATAACTACAAGGTTTCGAGTGAGACTACGTACTCGAAGTGTACCATCCTCGTTAACACTGCTTGCGTTAGCTTGAGAGAATCATTCTTCTTTGGAAACATACCCAACAAAGGCGTAGAATATGTGAGTGATTGAAGCAGTGTCCAGGCATGAAGGAGGACGCTCTTTGTAGCAGCGCCACGAGGGATAGTAGACGGCGTTGATGTATTGGTTCGACATTTTGGACAGACGCAAATAACAATGAAGAAATCAAGAAAGAACAAAAGGAAGAGGCCCTATAAGAGAATGTTTTAGGTATCAATAAGCAATAGTTTCACGTCGTACAGAGACTCAGCCCACGCCGTAATTGACCCACAGGCGGCTGTGGTTGATGATTGGGCCTGGTCTGTTTTCGTTGGCCCAAGAGCAAGGTAGCTGGTAGATTTATTGAAGAGGCGCTTGCTGAGCGATTCGAAAAAGAAAACCTGTCTTATTTATAGTCGTCACGAGAGTAAATATGAGATCATCGGGCAGCAAAGAAGAAGCGGAATTGGCAAAAAGTGGCCAGCGAGTCGACCAGTACGAATTCAGTTGCCACTTACACAAGCCATCAGCAACAACAGCTTCACATCAACGCAATGTAATGCAGTGTGTTTTATGTAATACAGCCATGATTTATTGCTATTGACAATCTATGGATATCGCGTTGCCATACTGTGAATCACTGACACCACCTCTCAATCTCAACTCCATCCAGGTCATCCAGGATATCAAAACTCATGTTCGTCTGCCTGGAAGCCACAACAATAATATCAAACTTTCTCAGGACATCTTTTCGCCAATCTTCATCTGAGAGACGACGT